TAGGTGCCAGACACTGTGCTAAGTAAGTATTTAACAAATGGTATCTTATTTGATCTTAACAACTAATATGATCTCCATTTTAGATTTGAGGAAACTGAGGCAAACAGATTACATGACTTGGCCAGCATATGAATTTGAGTCTTCCTGACTCCAGGCCCACCGATTCTATACAGTTAATATTTCTTCTCTCACCCTATTCCCCATTCTTGTGACCTCCAAGGTTGCAAGATGACCTAGAGAAAACTTGTAATGCATTTAAGCACATTACTCAACCTACATAACTCAAGCCAGAGGCTGTGATGAGGATCGCCCTGCTGAACGCCATAGCTCTACTGCCCCCTTAAGCATCGAAACACAGAACATTCATTAAGCCCATCTCTTAACTCTCCTCCCCAAATGCCACTTAATCTTTAGTCTTCTTGTTTAACCTCATTATATAGTTATTAACATGTAGCTGTATAGCTCCTGCCTCTGTCTCTGGGCCACAGTTAGCTTCAGCCAGGTGCTCTGCATTCCTGGGCCCCCTGTCAAGATCCTGTTGCCTTTTCTCTCTTATGGTAGCTGTAATTATGATTGTCTTCTTCCTTATTTTCTTTCTAGTCCTGGACAACCAGTCATCAATCACTCCTTGGGGTATAGGTACATCCCCAGCCAAGCAAAGACTTAGAAGGAACAGAAGTCTTCCTTCTCCTTCTTCCCCAAAAAAAAAACCTTCTTAAAGCTCCCAGGTACATTGTTATGCTTTGTGGCCTTGGGCACGAGTCACTTCTTGTCCATACCCAGGTCGGCCTAGTCTTTGTACCATATAATTGATTTGTATCTCAAATCTCCAAAAAAATGATGAAGTGGGAGTACCTGTAAATGCCAAATCCTGGACTCAGTAGTATTAAAACTGAGAAGTATGGGGCAAATGTAAGGAAAAGAAAAGCTTTATAGATTTTAAAGCTCTTTTCTAAAACACAGTTTCTCTCCAGGAGGAGCCTTGGTATGGCCTCTGATGAGATGAAAGGCTTGGCCTATGAGATTACCCTTACAATATCACCTGTTTGATAATGAATGTGTCATTATGCCCTAATTCCAGATGAACTAAAGCAGCAGTGAGTTGTTAATCAAAGTGATTAACATCTCCCTTAAGAAAGGCAGGGCTAAGCAAACACCACCTGGGTGTTATACCTTTAGATTTACCTTTAAAAGGAAGGCTATAAGGAAAGAAAGAATGAATACTAGACTGGAGGGACAGACCTCTGCTACATAGAGACTGGGACTTGGTTGCCTGGAGGGGAGGTCTGCACGTATGTACATGCCCCTTCTGGGAAGCAATATGACTACAGAGAAGGAGGTAGTAGCAGAATAATGGTGAAATCATGGGGTTCTCAGAGAAGGAGGAGTTCATGGGCTATGCTGTTATTGTAATGACTAAGCTTAGCCCTGGAGAAAATATGCAAAAATGTACCTTTTTCCTTTCCTTGCAGACTTGGAGAAAGGGTATGGAACTTGAGTAGACTATTTGACTCTGTTGCTCATGGGAAGGAGAAGGGAAGGGAGCAAGCATTTTTTAAAATTACGCACCTCCCTCCCGATGCCAGGCACTCTGTTAAATGCTTTACAAAAATTATCTTATTTGATTCCCTCAACAACTCTGGAAGGTAGGTGCTATTAACATCATTTTATGGTTAAGGAAACTGAGACAGAGTTAAGTGACCTGAGTTAAGGTCACACAGCTAGTAAGTGTCAGATCGAGAGCTTGAAAAGACCTCCGAGGTTATTTCATCTAATCTCCTCATTTCATTTATAGTTGAAGACACTGAGTGCCAAATGAATTAAGTGATTTTGCCCAGGGTCACACAAGTAGTGTCAGAGGTTGAATTTGAACCCAAGTCCACTGACTCCAGAGCCAAGGCTTTTTGAGATATGTGGTAGTAACATGTTGGTTAATTTTGCCCTTTTTTGCTTTTTTAAATCTATTGCAAGGGATGGTTTACTGCATAAGGGAGAGAGAGAGAGAGAGAGAGAGAGAGAGTGAGTGAGTACTGGTAGCAGGGAACCACTGTTTCAGCAGAGAAGTAATGTTAGATCTTTTCTTTAGGAATATGTGGAGGATAGATTGGAAACAGGAGAGACTTGAGGGGTGAGATTAAGAGAGAAAGGTGATGAGATTTGGCAACTTATTTTTCTGTGTAGATTGAGGAATAGTGGAAAACTGGGACTGCATGACTGGAAAGATGATGACTTTTTTTACTTAACAGAAATTGGGAAGAGAGGTGTGTGAGGGAGAAGAGAGTGAGTGCTGTTTTGTATATGCTGAGCTTGAAATGCCTTTGGAACATTGCTTTCCCAATCCCTAGCCACCGTGACCTATTGAGGTATGGGGGAGAAAAAGGCATCATTCAGTGTTCATACCAATCTCTCCAAACCCCCAGATACTGCTGCTGGAACTCCTGCAGCTGATGCCCTGTGGACCTTACTGTCCACCCCATTGCACTTCCTATAGTAACATCTAGACCCTGAATTTTCTTTTCTGTGTTAAAAATGTGAGCTCTTGGGGAACAGAGCTTGTTAGCTTCTAAACAGTCTAGCTTGTTTTGTATTCCATTTGTATCCATAGTGTGTGGCAGATGGTAAACACTTAATAGATGCTTTTTAATTCATTGATCAAGTTTGAGATGTCTCAATAGGCAGTTGGACTCTCTCGATGAATTGGCAGGTTGGGTTCTGACTGGTGAGCTTTTGTCTTCTCATACCTGGATCCAGGCTTCCATTCCACCTCCCTGCTAAGTCTACACTGCTGATGCTTTGCCCTTTACTCCCAGTTTATGTCTATCCCGGTTAGAATGTAAGCTCCTTGAGGGCAAGAACTGTCTTGCTTGCTAGCATTTGTATCCCCAGTGCTTAGCACTATGTCTAGCACCTAAGTACTTAATTAAAGCCCTATATATTTGTCTTGGGAGACTGAAGGACTAGGGCTTGACTTGAGAGTCTTAGGCATAGAGATGATCATTCAACTCTTGGGAGCTGATGAGATCACCCAAGGAAAGAGTGTAAAGAAAAAAAGGATGACTGGATAAGGATTCAATAAAGAAGGAACAGACAGACATATAGGAAAATTGAGGGGAAAGGGTGTTAATGAAAATCCAGAGAGGAGAGAGTGATTGTGTTAGATGCTGCAGAGAAGACAAGAAATGCTATCAGACTTGGTAATTAAATGGATAACTTTAGCTAAAGAAGTTTAAGCTGAGTGATGTGGTTGGAAGCCAGATTGCAGAAGGTTAAAAAGGGAAGAGGAACATCTCTTCAGGTATTAAGGAGGAGAGAATGAGGAGTTACGAGATTTTAAGATGGAGAATTAGAGGGAAGAAATTTAAGGGGAATGGGTTCTACTTCCTCAGTGAAGAGTAAGGAGAAAGGTCTTTAGCTGAGAGGATAGGGGGAGGAGGGGGTTTGGTGAGGAGGCTTTGTATGAGAAAAGATCATCACAAGAACTCTACAACCTTATTTACCCAGTTTATATCACAATAAATGCTAAATCTTGTCAAAGTGAAGTGGAAGAATTACTGAATTGTTATGGAGATGTATTTAATCAAAATTTAACATTTTGTAGCCTTAATAACAATTTCTTAAGCCCTTCAGGTGTCTGGCTCTTTCCTACTCAGTTAATCAATGAGCATACTTATTTCTGTATTTTGAAAGTTTAACAATCAAAACTCCTTTTGCCTAGTACTAAAATTAACTTTCTAATCTTGATGTTTGCCAGGTTTTGAGGTTCATTGCTGATCTGTTTTGAACAATTTTATCTTGTCATTTGTGTTTAAAATTGATGCCACCTTGTTCTTCAGTGTCTTGTGGAGAAGTTACCAATACCCAATAAAAAATTTAAGAGAATTCCTAGGATTCAATAAAAAGAATGGATTTGTTGGGGTTAACATATTAATTTTTTAGGGTTATTTTTGCAGAACTATGACTAAGGGCAGGTATCATGTCTTAGTCATCTCTATCTCCTCATAACTAGCATATTGATTTTATGTTTTACATAGAATTTGATGAATGTTTGGTGAATTGAATTTGTTGAATATTGAAGTTACTACAAAAGAATTTTTTGTTGTTGAGGGGTGCTTTTTTAAGGGGTCGTGAGTAGTAAAAACATTTCAAAAACCACTGTTTCAGTAAATGAATAATAAAAAGAATTACTTCAGGACAATTATAATCGGGTTGAACCCTCCAGACTTAGAATAAGGACTTGGTGAAACCCTGAAGCCAAATCTAGTAATAACTTTTACCTGTATTAATCTGAAAAAGGCAAAATAAAATATAAATTGGATATCTGTCTTCAATGTAATCTCCTTAAATGTTTTCACTTCTCAAGGAGAATTACAGACTAACAGCTTTATGAAAGATTATTCCAAGTCACTAATAATAACAGAAATTCAAAACAAATTTAATTTCATTTCACACCCAGGAAATTGGCAAAAATGAAAAAATATGGAAATAGCTAATGCTAGAAGAGTTGTATAAAGACAGCACACTAATGCACTGTGGATGGAACTGTCAGTTGCTCTACTTGTTCTGGAAAGCCATTAAATCATGCCAAGAAGGTGACTAAAATTCCATTTTTGCCCCAGAGATCTCACTAGCCAGAGGGCATGTACCTCAGGAATCAAGGATAGAAAAAAAGGTCCATATAGTCCAAAATATTCATAGCAACATGGTGGCAATAAAGAGCTTGAAGCAAAATTGTGACTGTATTTGTACCAGTTTTATTGTGCCTTGAGGCAGTACACATGATAATTCATCGATTCATAGGAAGGTTTACAAACTGACCATAGTATGTAAACAGAAAGAACAACAAAAAGGAAACTGAATGTTGCATAAATATAACAGCTAGCATATTTATAACAACACTTCCAATATTATTTTGTTTTTCATAATCTCCCTAGGAGGTAGGTGCTATTTTTATTGCCATTTTATAGATGAGGAAACTGAGACTCCGAGGTAAAGTGACTTACCCAAGGTTACACAGCTAGCACATCTGAGGTGAGTTTCAGACTTGGGTTCTCCTGACTCCAAGGCCACCACTGTATGCATTGGCATCAAGTTTGGCCCTGGAAAAGAGGTAAGGAAATTTATTTCCTTTCCTTCACTTTAGAGATGTGAGTCAGGTCAGTAAGCATTTCTTAAGCTCCCCCTTCTATAATGCCAGGCACTGTACTAAGCCCTGGGGATACAGGAAGGCAAAAGATAGTCTCCTGTTCTAAGGAACTCACTGTCTGTTGAAGGAAAGAGTCTACATGGGAGACTGTGGAGGTGCAATATTACAGATCCTGTCAGATTTGGTTGTTTTGGTTTTGCTGAATGGCCTTTAAAAAAAATTACTTTTTATTGTTACTAGGGATGGCCTCCTGGGGTAAGGAAGAAGGAAGAGAGATATTTGGAAATTTGATTAAAAAACAAAACTTATAAATAAAAAAGCTAACTTGTAGGGGGAAAAAATAGGTATTTTGAAAAATATTTTGATGGTGGTTGTCACTTGTGACCACCATAAATTTTTTTTTTGAAAATAAAATTTGAATCTTACTGTTTATAGAATTTTCTGGAACTTAATTCTGTTTTTAAGTTAATGTCTCAGCCGGTTGTAGACTTCTTGATGTCTAAGATCATATTTTAGGCTTTTTTGTATCCTCTACAAAGCATTCATTGAATGTTAGTTGTTGGTCTTTTACCCCTGACTTGAAGTTTTGCCAAGTTCACTGGGAGGTAATAGAGGTTTTGGTACCTGTGACTGGAGTAGCCAGCCACTTGAAGATGGAAGTAGGGAAAGCTTTACCTTGCATTGATCCATCCAGAATTGGAGTAGACTGTCTCAGAAGGATCATCCTCCCATGTAAGGTCTTCAGATGGAGGCTGAATGAGGCCCAGCTGAGGAATTCTTAAATTGTTAAGAAATTCCTGTTCAGGTAGATGTTAGACTAGGTAGTCTCTGACTTTGAGATTCTGTTTGAGATTCGTGAATTCTCTAAACTATACAAACCATGATAGTGTAAATTTGAAACTATAAAGAAAGAGACAAATTATTTCTAAACCAATGACACTAATTACAAAATTAAATACCCAGGAGAACAGATCACATATTAAAGCTATTATCCAATAATAACTGTAGTCTTTGCTATTTTAAATCAGTTTTTCCAAGATGTTCCTTTTAATAGGGAGTGCTTTGGCTTGTCTTTGTAGTCCAAGGGCTTAGTACCATGCTGGACACAGTAAGCACTTAATAAATGTTTAAATATTATAGTCATATTGACCATCTTCATTCAGTCTTTGACTCCCTGGTTGGTTGACTGTTATCCTTCATTCTCCAAGAGGATCAAAATGACATCAGTATGTTGGAGTCAAGTTACAGTATGTCCAGCTGTGGCTGATCAGACCAATTTGGAATGCTCTACCACAGGTTGGGTGCAAATAGTGCATGTGAACATTTGGAGTAGAGATGTCTCTAAATTTGTGCATCTCACGTTTCTTTTGAGCTACTGCAATTTTGCTTAGCTCATAGAATGCAGTGCCCTACCACAGCTCTCAAACACTTTATATGATATTGAAGACTTCCAGATAATCTTTTTTGTGCTGAATTCTTAATTTCTTTCCTACCTACCTTTCTTACTTAGAGTTAATCTAATCAGCAACTGATCTATCTGGATCTACAAGTCCTATACTAATGAAAAGATAAATAAAAATTATTGGTTCATTCATTTATCAAAAACGGATAGCCTCCAATTTAGATGTATCCAACACTGAGAATAATTGTCTATGTAGACTGGCTCTAGGATCTCTTCTTTCCTTGATGTTTCTTGGGATTCCCATATATCCTTTTTTCCTTCCTTGTCAGCCTTTCTGGGGTCACCCTTACCTCAGTCACTTTGTCCCTTTGTGACTTCATAAATCTAGAACTGGAAGGAGAGCTCAAGAGGCCAACTGATACAGCCTCTTCTCATTTGATAAGTGAGGAATCTGAAGCCCAAAGAATAAGAGGGATTTGAACCTAGCTAGGTCTTCTAAACTTTGAGTTCAAATCCAGACTCGGAGCACTTTCTAGCTGTGTGTCCCTAGGTAAGTCTCTTAACCCTGTATGCCTCAGTTTCCTTAGCCTCAGTTTCCTTATCTGTAAAATGAGCTGGAGAAGGAAATGGCAGACCTTTCCAGTATCTTTGCCAAGGAAAACTCTACATGGGGTCACTAAGAGTTGGATACTAACAACAACTTCTAGACTCTAGAACCAGTGTTTGTTCCATTTTACTGAGCTGCCTCCTATCTTAATTCTTGGTTTTTACCTTCATGGCAGTGTCTGAGGTGTCCCTGGGATTTGCTGTTGCTGGGGAGGCAAAAAGGATTAATCTCCACAACTGCATTTCACAGTAGTTGATTGAGTCTTATTTTCCTCTTAAATGCAGATGAATTTTGTTTCTATCCTTTGTGTGTCTGTTCATTAGCACTTGAATGCAACTTACTTTTCCCAGCTAGATCCTAAGTGAAAAAATTTGATATTGTTGTAGGGGGGTATGTGAAGTAGTCTTTAACACACCACTTTATTCCTCTTGTTAACAGTACAATAAATACAATGAACTTTTGTTAATTAATCAATAAATATATATTAAGTTCCTGATACGTGCCAGGCACTTTACTAGACAGTGGGATTTACAAATGCAAAGAATGGAACAATCCTTTTTGGAAAGGAAGTGTCATTCTAAAGGGGGATACATTTTAAAAATACATGTAAAAATATATACAGCATCAGTATTAGGCACCTGCTTTATATGGGGCTCTGTGCTAGGTAGAGAAATAAACTTTATATAAGCACCATGATGCCAAGAACTGAGAATCCAATGGGGCAGGGGCATAAGATTAACAACATAGCTATAATATACAGTGTTTAAATCAGTGTAATTTCTGACTTCATAGAATTTTTTCCCCTTAAAATGGAAAGGATCGGTCTCTCCTATTCATATTTCTACATTTGGTAGCAAATGCCTCTGTGAATGATGGTTTTTGCGCAGTGTGTATTCTAGGAAGAAAAAAGAACCCAGGAACAAAATGTAAGCTGTTAAAATTATTCTTTATCCTGCTTTTTACCTCTCTGTAGCATTAGACACAATTGACCACTCTCTCCTGAAACCGCCTAAGGATTTTAATGAAACCATACCCTCAAGGTTCTCCTTATCTGGCCCCTCCTCGGTCCTTTTCTAAAAAGCTACTAAATTTTGCTGCTCTTATCTCCACCATGTCTGTGAAACCACATTCTCTCTTTTGGACTGCTTCTGGCCTAGATCATTTCAACAGTCTCCTAATTGGCCTTCCTTCTTCAAGCCTTCCCCCATCCCTATACGTTGAAACCAAAAGTTTTTCACTGAAGAACAAATCTATTCAAAGGACTCCAGGGGATCTCTCTGATAAAAATTGAAGTTTTTCCTCTCCTTAGCTTTTAAAGCCTTCACAACCAGGCCCTGACCTATATACCCAGGCTCATTTGGATATTACTTGCACTCCCATATGTACTCTGTGATCCAGCCAAACCAGCCTCTTATCCTCACCCATGCATGACACCCTGGACCTTCCTTCCCACACATAATATTCCATCATCTCCCATCTAAACAGGCATCAACAGTTGCTGGTTGTACATTTCAACCTGGGTATCTCAAAATCAGGAAGTTCAAAATGCAACTGTACTATCCTCCCAGCTCCCCAAGCTTCTCAACTTCAAAGGCATCTTTATTCCTCACTTTCCCTTCACCAATTATATCCAGCTATTTGCCAAATCTCATTTAAGTCTACTCACAGAGCTACCACCCTAGTTGAAGTCTCCAGCACCTCCCACCTGAACTGTTGCAAAGGCCTCTGTCCCATCTCCAGTCCTGCATCCAGACAGTTGCCTAAGTACTGTTATTTTTCCCATAAACCCTCTCCCCCTTTTACCTTCCCTTTTATAGAGGGCAGCAGTCCCTCAGGCTCACAGCCTAGAAGTGATCCTGGGGGGATTCCTCATTATATCTCACCTCCCTCCTTCATATCCAACCTGCTGCCAGGGCCTGTTGATTTCAACTTTGCAGCATTTCTCAAATACACTGCCTTCTCTCTTCTGCCATTGTCAACCCTCTGGTACAAGCCCTCATCTCCTCATGCCTTGATTACTGCAATAGGCTGCTGGTGGAACTGCCTGCCACTAAAGTGATTTTCCTAAAGCTTAGGTCCAACTGTGTCACACACTTCCTCCCTTCTCCCCAATAAACTTCAATGGCTTCCTGTTACTTCCAAGAGGAAGTACAAAATGCTCTGGTTTACATTCCAAGCCCTTTGTAACCTAGCCCCTTCCTACCTTTCCAGTTGTCTTATGCCTTATTCCCCAACTCAGACTCCTCAGTCCAGTCGCACTGGCTCCCTGGCTGTTCTGGGAACAAGACATTCCATCTCTCAGCTCCCAGCATTTTCTCTGGCTGTCTCCCGTGCTTGGAATGTTCCCCCTCCTCAAGTCTGCCTACTGACTTCCCTGGCTCCCTTTAAGTGCCAACTAAAATCTGATCTTTTACCAGAAGCCTTCTCCAACCTCTCTTAATTCTAATGCCTTCCTTCTGGTAATTATTTCCCTTTTATCCTGTACACATAGCTTCCTTTGTCTATTGCTTGCGGATTGTCTGCCCCATTAGATTTAAGATCCTTGATGTCAGGGGCTATCTTTTTGTATCCCCAGTGCTTAGTACAGGGCCTGGTGCATAGTAGGCACTTAATAAGTGTTTATTAATTGATAGTCCTAAAGCAGTTTTGATCATGTTACTGTCCTGCACACTTACCTCCTATGACCTGGGATCAAATCCAGACCTTTTTGGGGGATGGGGGGGAGTGTTTTAAGCCACTCACTGTGTGATTCTAGTCTGCCTTTCTGAGCTTTTTGCATATATCTTCCTTTCACAGACTCTACTTGCAGCTGAATTGGTCAGTTTGCCATTGTTCATGAACAAAGTTTCAATCTCCAGTCACCATCCCTTAGCATAGGCTGTCCCTCTTCCATGCTGGAGTACACTTTTCTCACCACCTCTCATCTCATGAATATGGGTTTCCTTTGAATGATCTGCTCAAATGTCAACTCCAGGGACTCCCTGTCTCTTCTAGGATCACGTATAAAATCTTCTGTTTGGCCTTCAAAGCCCTTCATAACGTAGTCCCCCTCCCCACCTTACATCTTACCTCGCTGTTTCTCAGACAAGAAACTCCATCTCTCTGCTCTAGATATTTTCACTGACTGTTCCCCATACCTGCAATGCTCCCTTTTCTCATCTCCTTCCACCTGTCTTTCATGGCTTCTTTGAAGACCCCATTAAAAGTCTGCCTTTTACAAGAAGCTTTTCCCAGTCCTTCTTAATTCTAATGCCCACCCTCTTGTTATTTCCTGTTTATCTTATGTATAGCTTATTTGTATACATGTTGTTTTTCCCCTACCCCCTTTAGATTGTGTGCTCCTCTAAGAGCTGGGACTGTTTTTTCTTTGTAATTCCCAAGTGCTTAGCATAGTGTCTGGTACATAGTAGGTTCTTAATGCTCATTGACTGACTCCTACATGTGGCCTTTCCTTATCCCCCCAACTGCTAATGACCCACCCCAAAATTATCTTGTATTTATTTTGTGCATATATTGTTTCCCCTTTTATATTTGAGTCAAGGACTGTTTAACTTTTGACTTTACAGTTCCAGTGTCTAACATATGGCACCTGGTATGCTCTTAATAATTATTTGATTGGTTTTTTTTTTTACTGCTAGTAATAGGGAAGGAGAGATTCTACAAATCTCCAAGTGTGTGAGATAACCCACGGTTGGGTAAACGGGACAGGGTAGGGCAGCAACTCCAAAGATGACATCCCAGTTTCCCCTATTATACACAAAGTCCCACCTCTGAATTATGTCAAGGATTCTATAGCAAGGTGGGGAGAGTCATGGGGTGAGAAGCAAATTATTTGTTGTCTCTGCTCACAGATCT